CACTCTGCTGCCCAAGGCCCAGCTCAAATGCCTCCTCTTCTGAGAGGCTACCCCAGCCTCCCACTGCAGGCTCGTGCTCGGGGCCCCGCCAGGGGCTCTGAACCCCGGGGAGGCACAGACTGAGCCCCCAGAATGCCGACTGCTTCACATGAGATGCCGCATCCTCCGGTCTCCAGCACCAGGCTGGGAAACCGGACCGAAACATTTTATTCCGTGGGCGAGAAGGCGGTTCCCCTTCTTGCTTTGGCGAAGTGGCCCTTTATCTAAACAAAATGTTTTGCAGAATGAGAGCCCTGGGGAATCCAGTTTGAGAACCACAGTGAGAGACTCCAGTGTCTGAACTGTAGCCCCTGCCCCCGTAAGGAGGGGTGGCTGAGGGGCCCCAGTAAAACTGGGTGGCATGTTTGGCCGGCAGGTGTTCCTGGAAGAGACAGAGTAACAGGGCCTAGGGATGGTTAAAGAACTGGATGACTTCATGATGGCGCTTGGGGATCACAGCTACATGTTCTGGACAAAAGTGGGGTCCTCTCAAGTTCACCCTTGAGGATGGACCCCACCCCACCTACACAGCCTCGCCTGCACGGACGCCACTCTGACTCCTTTCCAAACGCAACCCGAGAGCCGAGAGCCGCTCGCTGGCGGCGGGGCTTCCGGGGCAGGGCGCAAGGGGGACCCTGGCTCTGAACGCGCCCGCCTGCCGGCTGCGTGTTTTTGCGCCAGAGACCCCACCTCTCTGTGTCGTTCGTAAGTAACAGTCTCTGACTCCCGGGGTGGTCGGAGGCGCCCGGAGATGCTCAAGCTGGACAGGACATGCAAACCCCAAGGGGCTAAGCAGACACCCAAGCCTACCCACCCCCCAACCAGTGCCCAGGGGGCCTCTGCTTTAGGGCCATTCGCAAGCCGACCCGAACACCATCTCCTCACCATGTTTGGGAAGAGGGCTTCCGCCTTAAGGATCCCTCTGCTGTCCTCCTGGAGCCTGAAGAGCTGCGGGATGTCGATGATGTCCTGCTCCGTCAGGCCCAGCTCCCGCTTCAGCACCTCCCGGTTCCAGTCGATGCAGCTCTGGAGGGAGGAGTGGGGTGTGCCACTTGGTGGGTCCATTCAGTGCCGCCTGGGTGGGGCTGAGCCTGGGCGGGGCCGACTGGGGGCGGGGCCTGCAGTGGTGGGTGGGGCATGGGAGAGGGCTGCTGTGTGGGGCGAGGACATAGGAGAGCCAAGAAGGGCGGGGCCTGGTGTGGGGCGGAGCCTGGGTGTGGGCGGGGCCTGGGTGTGGGCGGAGCCAGTGAGCGGTGGTCGCTGTGGGTGCTGGATGTGGGCTTGGGTGGGGCCAACATGGAGCCTGTAGGCAGGCCTGCGACCCGGCCAAGAGAGGGGACAGCATCTGCAGGACCTCCTGTCCTTGGCGGCCCCCTGGCTGTGCCCTGTCCCTCTGCCTCTGTGTGGCCTTCCATTCCAGTCCCGCTGTGTCTGGGTTCTACTTTCTCTCACTCCACCTGACTCTTCTCCAGCGCCTTGTGTGTTTTCCTGGGGTAGTGCCAGGTCTCCCCGTGGAAGACTCTGCCTCCCGCTTCTATAACTGCCAGGAAGGTGACTGCGGTGGGGGGGGGGTGTGAAGGGGAGTCAGGCCCTCCCGGGCACCCGAGCTAGTACCTCCACATAGGAGTTATGCTCTCTCAATTTCTTGTTTGACAGGATGTCCTTTATTTTCTGTTGTTTCTTTTCTGTCAAGGAGAAAAAAGGGGGAAGGCACATGAACTCAGGTGCAGTGCGGACCTACTTTCTCCATCTGTAAAATGGGGCACAGTACTCAACCTACAGATTTGCCGTGAGCATCTGGGAGCAGGCCTTTAATAAAATAATTTTATCGGGGTAAGTTCTCATTAAAAGTGCTGCTCTTGGGCCCTCGCTGGTGGGCAACAAGTTAAAGCACAGCAGTATGAAGCTATAAGTTCGATCCCCGGCCAGGGAGCTGACCCACATGGCACAACAGCAGACCTCTCCTGACCTGCTCACTGCTCCCCTCAGCAGTGTACTTCGTCAATCTGCCTGTTTCGCTCCCCGCTCTGTCTCTGGTGAATCCTGTCACCCCGCGCACCTCTGGCCTGTACTCCAGTTCTGTATGCATCAATAAATAAATCTTTTTTTAAAAGTGCTGCTCTCATCCCTTTAAGGTCTTTCATGTCCAAAGGATCCTAGGAACCAAGGGGAGCAGAGACCCTGTGCTATGGGGCATACGATATCTATAGGTAAAAGCCACAGCGACTTCACAACCTCTCTCTGGCCCTTGCCTAAACATCTGTATTTGTTACTGAAAAAGATATTCCATTCAGTGCCCCAGTGCTGACCATTTTTCAAGTCCTCAAACACACCTTGCTTTCACCCGCTGTTGTCTTTGCATTCCCTGTCCCCCGTGGTGGAACGGCTCCCATCCCACTGCCCCATTTCCTGGGCCAACTCTTGCTAATTACTCCTGCTCCTACTTGGTCTTTGCCGCCTCCAGGAAGCCTTCCCAGAGCTCCTCCCAGACACCATGAAAGCCCTGGTTTGTCACTGTTTTCTTGACTCCTGAACTGTGAACCTGGAGGGCAGAGAGCTATTCTGCCCAGGTCACTGCACTGTGCCCAGCGCACAGTAGGTACAGAAGACATCTGTTGCTTGAATGATTCCATCAGATCAACTTCAGATCACGTGAAGGTGGAGGAAGGTTCCAGATGGAAGATGCGGACTTCTGTGGTCAACTTACTGGAGACCCCTTCCAGCAGCAGAGCTTCCCCGTGGCCCTCCTTCAGCTGCTCCTGAAACAGTCTGTAGCAGGACCTGGGGCTGGCCAGGAGCAGCCGGAAGCCCTGGAGGAGAAACACTGGGATCAGGCATCCTCTTTGCCCCAGGGGCTCCCAAGGAGGAGGCCGTATGAGAGTGGGCAAGGACCCAGGCTACCTCCTCCTCCATGCCTCCTGCTGGGGGTGAGGGGAACAGCCGGGCATGGGAAGTCGTGCCTCCCAGGCTTGGTTCAGAGCTGTGCTTGGGGACCCAGGAAGGAGATTGGGGCTTCTTTCAGGCAGCTCCCAGACTGCACCTTCTTCTGTGCCGGAACGAAGCTCAGGAACTCATCCACGTGACCCACAGAGAGCCAGTCGGAGTAGAGTTTCACAGGGGCCTGCACCTGCTGGGCGCCCAGGAAGTCCTGCAGGGCCTGGTGCATCTCCTGGCTCTCCATGCTGCCCACAGAGGATTGAGAGTGTTATGGGAAGAGTGAGGGATAGGAGGTGGGGGGAGGGGCGGGTAGACAGGGAGGTCTCGCAGGAACGGAGGCCCCCGGCAAAGGGTCCTTCAGCTGGGGAAGGGTTCCGGAAGTCTACATTAGGAACTTAGAAATTTTGTTTTTATATTTTATTATTTTTTGTTTTATTTTATTGGGGGGAACTAAGGCCCAGAACTGGCCAGGTGCTGGGGCCAGAGCTGTTTCAGAAAGACTGTTGTCTCAGCCTAGAGGCTGGTATTGCAGATAAACCTGGGGTTCAGGGCTCCTCCCGCCTGATCAGTGATGCCTGGTTGGCTGTGCGGCTGTGGGCACATACCCTTCACCTTCCAACCCCCAGTTTCCTCCTGGCTCTAGCTTCCAAGGCCCCTCACGAGCTTGCCCTTCTGCTGTTCCTCTGATTTAGTCTGTTTTACTACTCTGCTCTGAACACCCATGCTCACGCCCGCCTCAGGGCCTTTGCACATGCGCTTCCATCTGCCAGGAACCCTCTTACCCCATGTCTCTGAGCAGCTTTGTCCTCCTTATCATCAGACTTCAACTCAAAGCCCTCCTGCCCAGCAACGCCCTTCCCCCATCACCCTGACAGAGTTCCCACTCCTCCTCTGCCCCTTTCTTTGTTTTCTTCTCCATTTGAAATTATCTTGTGTATGTGTCTACCTGTGTCTCCCCTCTGTAGAATGGTGGCAGGGAATTATCTGTCAAGGTCATGGCTATATGTCTTCCAAGGCCAGTGCAGTACCCAGCACATAGGAGGGCTCAGTAGATGGTCACTGAGCGAAAGTGTGTTTGTGCTGAGCTGGAACTTGAGCTTGGGGCTGCTGGGCCCCTGAGCCCATAGCCCTCAAATGCGCTGTGATTCCTCCCATACACTGACCGTGGGATGAGGCCTCTTGGGAGGGTAGCAAGTGGTCTCTGCTTTCCCACAGCCCCCCTGGGTCTACCCACCCCTCTTCCCTGCTCACCTGGGGAAGCTGCTGTTCCCGATGAGAATCCTACCCAGTGGGTATTTCTTCTGCCCGACTTTGACTGGAGGGCTCACTTCCAGGTTCCCAAAGGAGTCGAGATTGGTGACATTCCCTGTTTGGGGTCCTCGAGTCACGTAGCCAAAATCTGGACCCTGAGATGGGAGAAGTATGTGCCAGAAAGGAATGAGCCTCGTTCGCTGGGAGAGAGGGCAGGTCCGAGTTTAAAGAGGAACAGGGCAGGGGACGAATTTAGTAACTGGTAGGCTGTCATGTAGCAGTGCTGTCAGTTATTGCTTGGGGCAAGTGGAAGGGAAGCTGGATCAATGGGCCAGGAAAGGGACCAGCACTTGATGGGTCCTAATCCGTGCCAGCTGCTCCACAAGCCACGAGGAATCTGCCAAATATCATGTCTTAGTCTTATTTGGCAGAAAAGAAATTAAGCTCACAGAGGTGTGTGGTTTCCTCAGGCCCCAGAGCCAGTTTGCAGAAAGACCCGGATTTGAGCATCTCCACGCCAGCCCTGCTGGTCTACCTGCCTCTCGGTGTCGGCCCCAGGCAGCCCAGGGCGTAGTGAGAGTGGTGAGTTGACTCACATCGACTATTTTTTTAATTAATAAATTGTATTTTTTTTTCTTTTGGTATCTTTCCTTCCTGTGAATATTTTCCATGCTTGTTTTTTCCTGTTCTATCTCTAGCCTTCTTTTTTCTTATCTTTTTATGAATTTACAAATCTATTTATATATCTATTTGCATTGTCCTTTGATGGCCCCTGTGTGGGCCATCCCGGGGGTGCAGAGTGCCCCTGGGAGCACACCTTGCACTCTGCATTCTTGCCTCCATTTGCCCTGGTTTCTGGAACTGGGGGGCTGCCAGGGCTTGGAGAAAGGGCCTGGGGTCGTCCCGGGAAGGCACGCCTGGCGGTGAAGAGCATGCTCACGGAGCCAGCCCATCTGGTCTGAACTCCAAGTTCTCCACCCTTTTTCTGTGTGACCCTGGGAAAGCTGCTTCACCTCTCTGAGCCTCCATTTCTAAGTCTATGAAACAGGCTCAGGGACGGCATCTCCATTAAAGGCTGTCGGTCCCATGATGAGTCAGAGGGGTGCTGCGACCCACGGGCTGCCACTCACTGAGGTAACCATGGTCATGGAGTCTGCACGGACCTGCCAGGCTAGTTAAGCTGACTCACCAATGTCACCCCCCAACCCCCAAATGACGTAGAGACTCTGGCTGATAAAGCCACAGCTGGGAAGTGACCGCACTGACCCTGAAACCTGCTCCCTGATGCCCCCTCCCCCACCACCACTTTAGCCAAAACCAGGCTCCACCCAGAGACACCTGGGACAACCCTGCCTCACACAAGAGCATCTTCGGGGGAACAGGACTGCCCAAGCCTGACCGATTTCCTTGGCGGGCTCATGTTGAGGACAAGGTGGACGCGGGGCTAGACAGGGCTTTGGGGGAGGAAGGGCCAGAGCTCATCACGGTGATAGGAATAACAAGGCACACCTGTGTGATTGCTGCCCCCGGGGGGCTGGTGGCGGGGTGGGGGGATGGTTTGGAGGAGCCAGGCCTCAAGGCTAAGGGGTGCAGCCGCAGGCGCCTCCCAGCACGTACCAGCAGGCATTTGACGGGGAACTCCTTCAGGCCTCTGTTCCGGGGAGAGTCGAAGACCACGGGCAGCGTCTTGTGCGGGGCCTGGATGTAGCCGATCTCCATCTCATCCTGTGAGGACGAGTGGGGCGGAGGCCGTGACGCAAGGCCTGGCCTTGGCCCCCAGGCCGGGGGTGGGAGGGTGGGGGACGTCGAACCAGCCACCTCCTTCCCCGCTGTGGTCAAGGCCAAATCCACGTGTCGAGGGCAGATCCCAGAGAAGGGGCCTGAGAGAGCAGAGTTTCCTGCCCGGATCTACACACCCCACCCCGAAGGGTGTCCAGCCAGGACCTAGGTGAATGAGACTCGGGCTCTGTCCTCAAGGAGAGAGCCAGGAGCCTGCCTATGGGTCCCTGATGTCAGGAGGTGATAAGAAGGGAAGGGAGGTGTCTCGGGAGCGGAGGGGGGCTCCCCATGCATGGGCACAGGGCGGAGACGACTTCTTGCAGGCGCCCAGCTAAGCTGAGGCTTGGGGGGGAGAGTGACAGTGCCCTTTCTCCAAGTCCCAGCCTAGCTCCTGGAGGGGCTGATTCAGGAAGACGCGGGTGCTGGGGTTCCGGCAGGCGGTGTGGCTTTAGACGTCAATCACTACCAGTCGGAACCACAAAAGCCGCCTCTCTTGTAGGCCAGACGGCGGCATGTTAGTACATTCGTGTGGCTCAGCCTGGTCGAACACAGAGGGAGAGAAGGATGCTGTCTGTGGGTTTAGGGAGAGGTGGAGACAGCCCTCAGCGGGACGGGGAACCCTTATGGCCGGAGAGCCTGGCAGCTGGGCTGAGGAGGCGTGAGTGGACTCGGAGCTGGGGCAGAGGAGGGCGGCTGGAGAGAAGGGGCAGCTTGGGCAGGGGTGGGGGGGGAGCAGAGGCTGGGGTGCAGCAGGGCGCCACAAGGAGGGCCAGGTCAGGGCACCCCCCGCCCACTGGCCCGGGCCGAGGCCAGGCACTGCGTGCTGCATGAATGAGACCAGTCTGTGCCCTGGAAGCTCCCGGCAGGCGGGGGAACAGCACAGCTACAGTGTGGCTGGCGGCTGGCCGTGAGGGGCAGCCAGACTGGGAGGGCCCGGGATACAGGCTGAGGAGGCGGAGATGGGAGCCGTGGAATGTGCCGGGACAGGGCTGTGGCCTGATCCGGTGGCCGAGCCCAGGGAGGGGGCCCTGGAGGGCTGGTTAAGCAGCGTGGTTTCCTGAGGTGCCTAGAGTTTCCATGCAGGAAGGTGGCCCCCGTCTCGGGGCCACGGTGGGCAGGTGTGGCCCAGAGCAAAGGTTGCTTGAATCACCGCCCCAAGGGTGCCACTTGAGGGCCCTCGGAGATTTCTAGCTTCCAGCGAGCGCGGCCACAGGCACGAGGCTGAGACCCAGAGGACCCCGGCCCCAGTGGCCCTGGCCTCTCGGACACTCACCTGCAAGCCACAGCCCGCCCGCCCGGGCCACAAACCTGCATCCAGCGATCCTCCATGTTGTCCTCCGAGGAACAGATGGTCAGCTTGACCTTGGCTTTCTTGGCCAGAGCTGTCACTGACTTCAGGAAGTCTTCATTTTCGAATATACTAAAAAGAGCAGACAAGACGCCCCATCGTGCTCTGGATTCTGTGGCCTTGGCAGTGCTCTGAGGGCAAGATGGACTGCTGGAGGCCCCCAGGGTGGAGGAAGGACTGTAGCCTGGACACAGGTGGGTGCGCAGGGACTAAGCCCTGGCTGGAGATGCCTGGCTCCCTCTGGCTGAGCTTAGCAAGCGTCTCGTGGCGCCATTTGCCCGTCTCTGAGGGGAGCCTGCAGGAATCCCTTCCACGAGGGAGAAGGCACAGCAGGAGGGCAAACTCAAGGTCACAGCGCCTGGGAGTGGGGGTGGGGGGCGCACTGGACTCACCCCAGGTCTCGCTGGCCTCACCTGCGTCCTGATCTCCAGGGTATACTCTCCCTGCCCCAGAAGCCACCGGAAGAGGCGAGGGGAAGTCCCCTGACACCTAGTTAATGAGCCTCTCAGCTGCAGGATGGATGCGGGGCTCTCCAGGGCAGCTTATTAAAAGGCAGAAGGGCTGCACCCCAAGACAAATCCCAGAAGTTTTAGTGGAGCCAGGAATGAGCATTTTCAGGGGGCACCCAGGGGTCTGGACCTCAAGGAAGTCTCCACTCTGGGTGGCCTGCAGGCCTGGCTCACGGCTTGGGGGTTCTGCTCTCACAGGTCTAACGAGCTCTCAAGCGCTCCTTGTCCCCAGGAACAAAATCAGCCCCGCCGACGACACCAGGCAGAGGACCCACAACGAGGCAATGATTTGAGGCAATGATTTCTCTGCCTTTTAGTGTTTAAACACCACGAGCCTCAGCTCATTGCAGTGACAACTTTCTCATTCACCCAGAAGTGGCTGGCAGACCTGTGGCCAGAACAGAGCTCCTGGCCCAGTGCCCCTGGGGTGAGTCTGTGCCTCCCCTGCACCCACAGGCTGGGGACTTCACCTGCACACGTACACCTCCTCCGGGGGCTGAGTGTTGGGGGTCATGATCCAGGGGGCCACTCGGAAGGTCACACTGTCTTGGAAAACCAGGATTTCGGGGAGATCCTGCAGGGTGCGGGCAGGGCAGGGGCCGTCACCATTGGCAGCGTCCATGCCTGCTACCCACACTCCAGCCGGGCTTGCCCCCCACCAATGGCCACTGCCCAGGAGCCACTGTCCTGGCCTGCCCTCTTGGCCTACCTGGCTGGATATGTCCAGCAGCGAGACGGTGAGGGAGATGAGGCCAGGGAAGTTGGCGTCAGGAAAAGCAAGGCCTTCCACGTAGAAGTGAGCCCGGTGCTGGCCGCCCGGGAGCTCCAGGGAGTGAGAGGGCTGCTGGGGTCCCAGGACCACCCTGTATCGGGAGGACTTCTTGTCCCCTACGAGAGAGTCAGGGGGAGGGGGACTCAGGTCTGCATTTTCACCTCTGATGACCCTGTCTTCTCTCAGGTGCTGTGATTCCTTCCTCCCGGATAATCAGGCTGGAGTCTCCCCTAATAGAAAGGACAAAGCCCAGCTGGGACGTCAACCCCTGGCTGGGGTCCTTGGAGTGACCTCCGTGGGAGGTGGCCAAGCCCTTCCCAATTTCCAAAAGTTAAATACACACGATGATTCAACCATGCACACAGCATGCATTCATGTTTCACTCATTTCCAAACACCTGTTCTGGGGAGACCCCGAGTCAGTGCCTGTCCTGGTGCCCAGGGAGTGCACCCTCACATGAAGGGGGAGAGAGGAGCAGACAGTCATAATAAAAGGTGGTGAGAACCGCTGTGATGGAGTGAAGCCCGGAGGACCAGGGAAGGCTTCCGGAGGTGTGTCTCAGCAGCGTCTAGGAGTGACCAAACCCCTATCTGTCCAGCCCCTTTGGTCTGGAATGGAATTCCGTGGGGTCACATTGTGCTTTAGATGCAGAGCCAAAGTCGCCCCCCACAACGTGATCTGGCGCCTCCCCCTCTGCCCCTTTCCTTTCCCCTTCACCCCCTTTAACACTGACTCCCACAGGCTAGATCCTGGCACCCAGAGGGTGCTCTGGAGTTACTCCATGGAGGGGCTGTGCAGGGGCTGCCCCCGGGCCAGGGCAGTGAAGGGACCCCAAGATGACGACCCCAAAGCCAACTCACGGTGGGTGTGGAACACCCTGACTTTGTCCATCTCTGACTTGGCCACATGGAGCATCAGCTGGTGCCTGGTGAAGAAGTCCCTGGGGGTCTCCGTGCTCAGGGTCAGCAGGGACATATCCTGCAGGTCTGGAGGAGAAGGATGCAGCCGGCCTGAGACACAGGTGCCTGAGGCCCTCCTGGTGGGGTCCAGCCCCCACTGCCCTCTGGCCCACCCTTTCCTCTGCTGTCTGGTTTTATGTGCTTTATGCTCTTTCTAGTATTTAAATGGGGGCCTCATCTGGGATGGTAGCTAATCAACCCGTACTCTTTCCCACCGGGTCCTCCTTAGGATGGAAGCTTGGTGAGCAGGGAGCAGGGACCACATTTTCTGTCCACTGCTCTGTCCCCGACTCCTCAGGCCTAGAAAGCCTGGAAGCACCTAGCACAGGGAGGCGCTCAGCAACCATATGTGTGGTGAATGAGCAGGAAGATCCCCCGGGGCCTGAGCAGGGAGTGTAGCTTGTGCCCCAACCTGGATGATGATGACAAAGCATGAGGGGAGCAAAGCTGGACGTAGTCAGGGCCTGGGGGCTGGAGTGGGGCGGGGCTGGAGTCCTGAGGGTGTCACTGCGGGGGTGGGGATGGGGGGTGCTTTCCACCCATCAGTGAACAAGGCCAAGGAGTGCCCACGGGCGGCACTACTTCAAGGTGCTGTAAAGCGCCGTTACGGAGCCCACTCCCGGGTGCCCACAGAGGGTGCTGGCTTGCTGGTGGCTATATGTTGGCATTGCTCCTGGCATCAGGCCAGGTCAACTGCATACAGCTTCCAAATGCATCTGCTTCTAAGCTGCTCTGACCACGCCCAGGAGGGCCACAGCCCCTGCTCTGCTGGCCCACCTCACCCTGTAGCACCCTCCAAACAAGCTGCATCCGGGCCACCCCTCGGACACTACCCCTCGGACACCCCTCAGGGCAGTGCTGGGAGGTAGCGCTGGTCCAGTGTTTCCCTGACTATGGCATGACCTTAGCTGGTCACTTGTCCACTGGGGGTCCTTGTCCCTTCCTCCACGTAGAACAAGCTTCCAGTCACCCCTGTTTCTGAGGGTTATTTCGGCCCTATAGAAAGACACAACCCATTCCCCCCCTGCTCTCGGGTCTTTACCTTTACTGTCAAACACTTTGTCATCCTTGAAATCCATGCTGGAAGATCTGGGATTGTCCTTGTCACAGTTCACCAGCAGGATGGCGCCATGCCCGTGAGGGCCCCAGGTCCAAGTGCTCTGTGAACCCCAGCAGAGATGGGGTACACTGAGAAACCTCATTCCAGGCCCCCTTCCTCCCTCAGTTCACACATCTCAGACTTTTGACAGCTATGAACTGGGTTGGCAAACTCAGCTGAGCCACATGTCTGCAGCAGAGCTCTGAGCTGACAAGTGACCCTGTGTGAAAGTTGAGTAATTGACTCTCGCCAAGCACACAGCTCCCGTCTGGGGATGAAGCCAGTGCAGCTGGCAGGGGCGGGGCTTCTATCAGGAATGACTGCTCTCTGGGTGGGCCGTAGGATAGATTCCATCCCAGAGCTGTGATTTTCCCCCTCTGACTTCCGGCCACCAAGGTGCCTAATCTCTGACAAGTCCCGACTCTCCAAAGTAGCTGCTGGTATGAAACTGAGCAGGCAAGTTTGCAGTGGAGGGACACCCTGAGTTTGTCTACGGACCCCAGTTGAGACTACTCGGTACCTGCACACCACACCTCTGCACGCCTCACCTCTGCACACCCCATCTCTGTGTACCCACTATTCTATCTTTCCACAATCACATTTCCTGCGCTGGCTCCCTCGCCCCTCCCCCACCATTTCTTCCTTTCTCTATTATTCACCCAGGTGGGTAGCACTATGAGAATGCTCCCACCAGTGGATAAATTCTCGGGTGGGGGGTTTCTGAGCCAGAGGCAACATCAGCTGCAAATTTTCTCTGTTCTGTATTAACTCGGTGACTCTTTAGTTTATCCAGCTTGTAGGACAACACATTCCCTGAAAATCCCAGCAGCGGTGAAAATCTAGTTTTTTAAATGAGGTGAGGAATATTAAACCCGAAAGGCAATGTGATTTCAATTTTCCTCTTTTTCTTCTTCCCAAGCTGTCTCTTTCTCCCATTAACCTAGGATACCCAGGAAGACCGCTACGCGCCCCGTGACCATCAGGGGGCGCCCGAGGAGAGCCCAAGGCGTCGGGGTTGATGGGTACCTGGTCCTTGTTGACTCTGGTCGGCTTCACTTTGCCGGAGCGAGTGATGTCAGCGCTCAACGAGATTTCTGAAATCCCGCCAAGGAAGAGGAGAGGGCTGTAAAGATATAGGCTGGGGGCGTTCGGCTTACAATCCTTCCCCCCACCCCGGGCTTCTCACCCTCCCCAGCCAAGACATCTGGCTACAGTTCAGACAACAGAGCCAGCACTTCTCTCTCACCACATACTTTTGCGGGGAGCAGTGCCGCGTCTGTGGTGCCAAGCAGGCCCTGCGAGTGTGGCTTCAGAAAGAATCCCTAGCCACTCTAAAGGGCTGTCCAGCTCTGGCCCCGACTCCACCCATGACCCTGGGTGGGGTATCCCGTGGTCATTCCTCCCAGCTGTCTCCTCATGGTGCACTGTGACTGTCCTGGGGGTGAATCATGACCCCAAACAGGTGCCCTGAGGTCGCCCCCTCATTGAATACGTGAGGCTACTGTCCTTCCAGTGACAGGACCATCTACCCCAGGGCGATACCGTGACCTTGGGGGGTCACGGTGTGAGACTGAGCTGTGACTATTAACTACACCCACAGCCTGTAGAGAGTGGGGCCAGGGAAGCACTGGGCTTCACAGCCTGGACGTCCCTTTCTTCAAGGCCAGGCCATGACTTTGTTTACTTTTTGCACCCCAGTTTTCTGTACAGTGTGATGCTGATAGTGCCTATTTCATTGCTGGGTTGTTGTAAGGCTTAAAGGTACAGTCTTAGCACAGTACCTGGCACAGAGTAATTGCTCTTTAATAAAATAAATTAATTAAATGGTGATTTAGTTTGCCATTCATGGAATAAAGTTTATTAAATCGAATTAATTCATTAAAGTAATTAATGAATTAGTTCATCCGTGTAATGAAAGTCATTAAGGAAATGAAACTGAAGTTGTCACATGCCGTTCCTATAGTTAGTGCACATTTAAAGGGTGATAATATTGTGCTATGACTCAAGAGGAGCTCAAGTTTAAAATGTCCTTTAAAGAAGACTATTAAATTGGGCCCTCCCTGGTGGCGCAGCAGGTTAAAGCACAGCACTAAGAAGCTCAGGCCACTTCCTCATGAGTTCGATCTCCGCTTGCCCCAGAGGAGATCCACATGGCGTGGCAGACCTCCACCGCCCGCGGCTTCCCTCAGCAGTGTACTTCGTGGATCTGCCTGTTCTGCTCCCCACTCTGTCCCTGGTGAATCCTCTCACCCTCCGCATCTCTGGCCTGTACCCCAGTTCTGTATGAATAAATAAATCTTTAAAAAAAAGAAGACTATTAAATCAGTGTGAATAAGAGTAGATGAATGTGGCCAAAAAGGGTGATGTAGATAAGAGAATTGGGGGACACTGGTCTGCATTATTACATTAGACAGCGGCCCCATCTTCTTTTTCTTAAACATATTTGAATTGTCAAAAGGCATAGAAGCGTGTTTATTGCAAAGCCAAGGACCATTTTCTAAATTGAGAAATAAAATATTAGGATGTAATTAAAACCCACTGGAAACATCGTCACTTCACAATTGTATTTCTTTGTGTTTCACTGACCGGAAAGAGAATATTTGTGGATTACCGGATGTGTGGCTGGCTACACGTCCTTTCTCTGTGCTCAGTCTAAAGTAAGGTCTAGAGCGTAGCCTCTTCCCGAGAAATGCCTTGCAGGTGCGTGTGTGTCTCAGGATCCGGTCACCACTTACCAATGCCCGTGATGTACAGCAGTGCTTGCACAGGGGCCATTTGCTCTCCATAGTATGAAATCCGAACCTAGTAGACATCAGCAAACTAATATGACTCCTCTCAGTCATTCAGCAAACACTAACTGGATCCCTGCCGTGTGCCAGCTCACAACAAGATGCGGAAGGGCTGAAGCTGGACAAAGGTAGACCAGCTGTTAAGGAGGCGCCTAGGGCCCTCGTGACCCACATGGCGCAGCAGGCCTCTCCTGACCCGCCCGCTGCTCCCCTCAGCAGTGGACTTCGTCAGTTGGCCTGTTTTGCTCCCTACTCTGTCTCTGGTCAACTCTCTCACCCCCAGCACCTCTGGCTTGTATCCCAGTTCTTGTATGCATAAATAAATAAGTTTTTTTTTTTTTTTAAAGGGAGGATCCTAACTTGAAGGAATGGAGGGGTTGCCACACCCCAAATGATTATGGGATCCAGGAATGGAGCGACTTACTCTGCCTGGCCCGTGCCAGGATGGGGATAGGGGTTGTGCAGTTGCAGGCGTGGGGAGATGCATTAAAGGGAGACTGTTGAGTACAAGACACAAAACCTGCCTCTCGCAAGCAGGAAGGACAGAGGAGACCTGCAGACCCAGGCAGTGGGCAGCCTCCATAGTGGCATCTCGCTATTGCCCATGAAGATGCCAGGGCTTTCCAAAGAGGAAGCTCTGCCAGGGCTGGGACTGTGGGCCAAAGCAGGACAGACTGTGAGTAGCTGAGTTGCTGGGACCTGCCTGCCCCACCCTGCACCCCGCCCGCCACTGCCCTGCTCACCTTCTGGTCACTGTTGCTGCTGCTGGCGGCCCTCGTCGTCAGGCTCACCTCCAGCCCGGGATCCAGGGGCCACTTGGAGAAGCCTTTGGGTTTCTTCGTGGCCGGAGGGCTGTGGGCAACGCGCACGACCACTTCTGGAGAGGCACTGACGCTGAAGGATGTGCAGCCCTTGGGGGCAGAGCTGGGGAGGAGGCGGGTGGGGAGGACGGAGAGGCAGGGAGCCCAGGTGTGAGCGCCAGATGGCAGCCTGCCGGCCCCTGATCGTGGCAGTGGGCACTGGCGGCGGCCATGTGGTCGCACAAGGCTGAGCAATGCCTGACCTGGAGAGCTTACATGTGGAGAAGGAGGATCGCAGAGATGAGCGCACACACACACACACACACACACACGCAGATGGGTGCCGAGAGTGATGTGCACACCCAGGGGCCTAGAACCTGGAGATGTGTACATACAAGGTGGTGTCGCTACAACACACACTTCTGGAATTAAGGCAGAACAATGCTCTGGGTCGTCTTCCTGCCATAAAATAACAGAATCATGGTAAAAATATATTTTTTAGAGCATTATCGAGATCACGAGGATGAGGGAAATCTTCAAACACTGCATCCTGGAGCTGATCATTCTCTCTCTCATCTCTGTGAGTACAAGTTCCAGCCAGAGTTCGACTCTGTTTTTCTTGAAGATTCTTTTTTTTAAAAGATTTTTTAATTTATGCATACAAGAACTGGGGTACAGGCCAGAGGTACAGAAAGTGAGAAGATTCACCAGGGACAGAGTAGGGAGCAGAACAGGCAGATTGAAGAAGTACACTGCTGAGGGGAGCCGCGGGCAGGACAGGAGAGGTCTGCTGTGCCCTGTGGGTCACTCTCTGGCTGAGAATTGAACTAGGCTTCAGTGGCTGCTGGTGCTCGATAACGCTGTGTCTTTAACCTCAGCACCACCAGGGAGGCCTACGTCAAGTACTTTGAAAAGAAAAAAAAAAACTATTGCTTTACAATTGTGTACCCAATGAAATTATGTATTAATGAAAACATTTTCAGATGAAGACTTATGTTAAAAAAAAAAACCACACACACACACACTCACCCAGTCAACCTCTAAAGATATATTGTAAGAAGATATCTACTCTTACTTCTATATGGAATCTAAGATCAAAACAAAACCCAAACAAAACACTGAACTCACAGATTCAGAGAACAGATTCCAATTGTTAAAATTCCACTTATAAAATAACAAAGTACTGGGGATGAAAGGCAAAGCCTGGTAACTATAGTAAATCACACTGTTTCATATTTAAAAGTTTCTGAGAGAGTCGCTATTGCAAATTTTCACCATCCTCGCACACTCGCAATTTTGTCCCTATGTGTGGTGGTGGGCATAGACCAGCGGTAGAATTCTGTGACCCACAGTCGGCAAATGTGCTTTCACCCAAGCTCAAGCACACATGGCTCTCTAAAGTAAAAATTGATCATGTCTTTGACTATAAAACCAGTTGGAACAAGCGATAATGCGTAGGTAGCATAGAGTGTCGGTAGCGAAGACTTTGATCACAGCGTAACGAAGTGAGGAGTCACTAATCCGAAGTCCATTTTTAAAGGATAATTAATGGAAATTAAGAATCATATTTCAAAGTGAGCAAGAGTGAAAATACCAAATTTCAAACATTTGGGGGAGCTGTGTTCGGTTGTGCCTTAAGTACCTACACCTTTAAAAAGAAGAGAAAAGGTAAACACGAAGCCATAGAAAAAGAACCTAGCAAAATAAAAGGAAATGCAATCTTTCAAAATAAAGATGGCAGAAGTCTTTGCGATAGAAAACAAGTCAGCAAAGAGAACAGACTAGTGAAACATAACATCTGGCAGCCTTGATCAAAGGGGGGACAGTTAGGGAAGTCAAAAGAAATACTACCGAAAAAGCAGGCTTTTGTGGAGAGCTGATGAAAATTAAGTAAAGAAGCCGCAGGAAATTTTACACTTAGTGGTAATTTCCTTTAAGATCAGGAATTCGACAAGAGAACTCTACGACATGGTACAGGAGATTCTCGTCACTGCAGTAAGAGAACTAAAAGTGAGACATAAAGACCGAAAAATAAGAAGAAAAAATCCGTGCTTAGGAAGGATACAATGATTCGGACATTCCCAAGGAATGTGTAAATTGAAAGAAATGGTAAGAGTTTAACAAGGTAGCAAGTAAGGTGTGGAGAAAACGGTTGCATGTCTGCACAGCTAGAAAACTCCGCAGAGACTGACAAGTTCAAACCTTGTTCTCGCCACCTGCCACCCGCCCAGCCCAGCAACAGAGCGCTTCCCACTAAGAGACACAGCTCACGGGTTTCGGGGACTAACCCATGGTGCTGCGCCTCACGGCACATCTCTTCACGGCGACGCTGCAGGTGGGTACTTTTCTTGTTCCCCTTTTACAGACCGAGCAGTGAGGCTGCAGAGAAGCTGCTATTTGCTCACGGCCGCCTGGTGCCAGCCACGCTCGCGAGCTCATGGGCGCCCTGGGCAGGGCTGGAGCACTGCACTTTACAGAGGAGAGACTCGGGCTCTGCCCTGGCCGCAGTCACACCACCTGGGGGTCCTGCCCAGATTTCTGCTTCTGCACAAAGACCCCAACAGTCAGGGGCCCGGAGCCAGGGCAGCAGGCTCGGTGTGGAAACGGGGGGCAGGCTGGTGTGGAGAGCAGAACAGGAAGGTGGGTGGCTGGCACTGAGCCACCAGGTGGAGACAGCTGAGAGGAGGGGTGAGGGTGGAGCTCAGCCAGGGCGGCGGGGGCCAGGTGACAGGTGCAGCCCTGGAGGGTGGTGAGGTCACCCGCAGGAGTGTGGGCTGAGGACAGGTAGGAAGAGACCCTGACTGAAACCCAGCTTTGCCTGGACCTTTCTAGTCACCCAGCAGGCAGGCGCTGGCCTCTGGAAAGTGCTCTCTTCCTCTCTCCCTTCTCACCACACACTGGTTCAGGGGTGTTGACCAAAGGTCCTTCCTGAAGGACCAAGGAAGGGCCCCAGTGGCCTGAGATGGGAGCCCCTCCCCTGGCGAGGGATGGCAATGGCCGACAGCGAGCGGGCGGGGGCTCCTGAGCACACCTCCCTCTGTCCCTGCGTCCAGTCCCTCCGCTCCTGTCCTCTCCCACTGCAGTGCGGGCTTGCTGGCACCACACTGCAGGCGGCAGGGTTTGAGCAAAACCCTTCTGTCTCAATTTTGCATTCATTCAGCAAACACTTCACGGGCACCTACTATATGCTGGCGCTGCCCTTTAAACACACAGTCAGCCTCTCACTCAGTGGGCACCCGCACTGCAGGACCAGCCTTAGCTGGGGACCAAGGCAGGGGGGGCCCAGGGGCTCCTGGCCCTCAGCTGGAGGTTCTGGGGTTTGATTGTGGGGTCCTAGTCCACCTTGACCAGGACTCCATTCCCAATCTGCTAAACTCTTAGCCTGGGGTATCCCTGTCTCTCTTTAGCTCAATCGCCGCCTTTGCCACTGGCCCCCAGCCTGGTACCCAAGGGATGAGGGTTGGGGAGCAGGATGGCTGGGGGGGGCATCCAGGGAGCACTGCCTGGGTCTGGGCACCCACTCTCTGGGTGGGGAGACAGCCAGAGTGGATGATGCTCCCCACCCCCACCCCCCAGTCCAAGGGTCAGCCCGTCTACACTCACTCGAGCAGGTCTGGGCCCGTGCTGGAGACTTTGGGCTCAGCTGTCCATGGGAAACTTCTCCTGAGCCGTCTGCAAGCTGCAGGCACCCCCAAAGGGCCGGAAGTGGGACTGAGCCCGAGCCACTTCTGCTAGGCTGTGTGACCTTGGCTTAGCCCCTGACCCTCTCTGGTCCCAGTTTTCTCCTCTGAAAATGGGAATGATGTTCACCCACTTCCTTCATGAGGTTTGGAGGGCCACGTCCCTAACTGCTCAGTGTGTGGGTACTAGATAATAATCAGCTAAATTAGGGACGCTGGGCAGAAGCTGCAGGAGTGCTTGCGGTGAGGGAGGCCCCGCAGAACCGAGTCTTTCTGCCTGAACGCCTGGACTGATGACACACCTACGTGGCCAAACCAGAACTTCAGAAAGGCCTTGTTTCTCTGCCAAAGCCTGGAGGCTCCTCCCCATGCCACGTGGGGTGGTCTTCCTTGATACCCACAAAGCTGTGGTGAGAAGCTCCCCATCAGCTGCCTGGGTGCTATGCCAGGCCAGGGGAATGCTGGCTGTGGGCACACAGAATGAACAATGGCCAGACCTTGTCCTGGTGCCAAGGATGCCAGCCTGCACCTGGCCTGGAGCTCCACGCTCACTCTGCCATGTGGCTTTAGTGCCAGGGGCAAGGAGGAGCCACCTGCCAGGGATTGATACCACCCTCTTTGCCAGGTGGGGAAACTGAGGCTCTGAGCTGTGTGTGCATGGTGCGGGGGATTCTGGGTATTATTGTCACCCAGAAGGCAGAAGACCCACAAGGCAAACCAGAGTTATCAGGAAAGACCCTCCCCCCAGGAAAGGCCTTAAAGCCTAGTTAGGGCTGTTTTGTTAAGGGACAGGACTTCATTAGGCCCAAGCTGGTTGGTATCTGAAGCAACACACACAGAGAGGCCCCTGCGTGACCTAACACCACCTTAGATTCATTGCCACCCTTTGCACAATAAAAGCACTTCCAGCGGAGGATGGTGGCCTCATTTCCTGAGCATGTGACAAAGCAGAGACGATCTTGAACTACGCTGACTTGCCCAACCCTGCCCCCACCCTGTTCCACACCAACCCCCCTCAGAAAATCCTGACTCCCTCTGGGAAGTCCCAGCAGTGCTTTGGGGGGGAGCCATCTCCTACTGGCCAAGAGGTTGACCGTGGCCAACCTCTGCCACGGTCCCTGACTGGGCTGACCACTTGGCCGACACGGGCCAAGCCATAGGCCCTGTGTGTCAGGGGACATCACGGCGGAGCAGGACGCAGGGCAGAGTGTCTTGTACTGCCGACAGCCGCCTGCCGGAGCGACAGTGCCGAGGCTCCTGAGTCCACCTCCTGCCCTGCCGCCCCCCGGCGCACCTGCGTCCAGACAGGGAAGGGGCCATGTGCTTTGTGTTCTTTGGTGCTGGCCTCGACCCAGCAGGTGAGCATCAAGTTTCCCATTTTACAGGTGGGTAAGCTGAGACTCAGACAGTTACAGACTCAGAGACTCCGTGCTCCCTGGTGTCCCGTGGAGTGGCCTCCCTTTTAGAAGAGACGGCAAATGAATGAATGAATGAATGAACAGTCCGCCATCAGAACGTGTCCAGCACTTGCTGAGTCCCTCTGCGTTTTCACGTTACATCCCTGTAACCACCTTATGAAGTAGGCAGTGCCCCCATTTCACAGAGGAGAAAACCGAGGCTGCCCAGCCAGCAGACAGTAGGGCCAAGTTTCCCACTCGGGCCTCTCCCACAGTGGAGCCTGGCGCACCCCCACCTCAGCCCGCTGTTACACACCCACTAGGGGGAGCTTGGCTGAGACAGGGTCTGGCCTTGCTCCCAGGCACCC